CAGTCCTGCTGATAGGGAAGTGATTGAGGGGCAGTATGGGGCATGACTTCTGGCTTGGTTAAATGACAACATCACCATAAATCTATTTGGAATGACAGTTTTCCTGGAAATTAAAATAGAATATCTTACCATGGATGATCTGTTCTCCTGTAATTTGAAATACTAATTTCTAATAATAGCTGTTAGGAGTATTAATTTTGCCATACTGAAATGAAAAAAAGCATCTGGTACACTGCAATACACAACAGGAAGAAATCCTTTGCAACCATGACAGAATTCACAAGTTAGAAGAGATACGTTGGGGCTGATCAGACCATAGTGACTGTGTATTTCCATGAAGAGTTTCAGAGTTTGTAGATTTGCTTTTTTGCCTTTAATATTGACAATTGCATTACTAAAGCTAAGTTTGTGAAGACCAGGGTGACTGAATATTTATTTACTGGTTTTCTTGCCACATCTGATCCTTTTTTCTTATTTATTTCCCTTACTTATTTTTATGGAATCATGCCAAGTGAATCAAGTGTAACATACAAAGTATAAATATCTGTGTGTCTGTATTTTCACGCATGGTTATCATGTTGATGAAATTGGGGAATGATTTTTGTAGTTTTCTGTGTGCACATGAAGTTGAAGTTTGCCTGCAAATTGTGTTGGTATTTTTGTTCCCTTTCTCCTGCTCCACATGCCTCTTTCAGTGCTCTTTTTTATTATTGAAGAATTGTTTATTGATGAAGTTGCTAAATTATGCATGGCTCTATGGCCTTTTCCTTTCTTTGACCTCCTTATGAATTACTTGCTGATGGGTTGTGAGATAGTGGTACCCTCATCATGTATAGTGCATCATCAAACTTAAATCAAAAAGAAGAGTGGCCTAACCTTTCCCTTGGATCCTTTTCTTGTAATATTCACTGTAGATTTTCTTTAGTTTAATCTCTTTGGAAGGCTTTACAGAAACAAATCTTAAAAGACTTTTATCTTCACATTTAAAAACTGAAGCCAGATGCAGTAAGTTATGGCTATCAATAAAGTGATGACTTAAATTAATAGACTATACTAATCTCTCTTCTGCTTGTAATTTTTAAATAATGGATGTGTAGATCTATTATTTTTTTTAATCCTTAAAGCCTGAATATTTATTATKCCTATGGTTACCTCTGTGGAGTTAAATTTTTAGAGCTTTCATCTACCATATAATGCTTAGGAAATGGCTGGTGTCCCTTTGTCTTTCCAATCTCAGCATTTAGCATTGCTCTCATTCACAATTCAGGGACCATGTTAGATTTTTTTAAAAGAAAATGGGAAGTGGATTGAGAT